AACTTTTGCATTTTATATGATGTTTTCTAAAGATTGTTGGTATTAAAATGCATGAAGAGCCATCTTTCAAAAACCGGTCTGGACTGTCTTTGTCTTGCTGATTATCAGTAAAATTAATAATCTGGCGTAACGGATGGAATCTCTTTACGTCTTGAGATGTGACTGGCGGTGCCAGTAGTCATCCGTGGCTGGTTGAAAATACCTATGACAGGTTGTACTGCCAGGGAATAGTCGATCTCTTCGGGGCTAGTTTTGATCGGATCCCCCAACTCCTTGCGCAGAGTACAAATTGGTATGTTCTGATATGTTGATGATCAGGAGGCTCTTTTTGGTTAGTCTTGAGGATTTTCTGGTATAAGGGCTGGAAAATTCGAAAATTGGAAAATGTTATGGATACTATTTATTTATGTTATGTGTTTCTAAAGAGAAACAAAAAGAACAGGAAAATGATTTTAAAATTCTCAAATCCAGTATTGGTCTTAAAAATACCATATCGCAGGGCTCTAATTTTTGACTCAACATGAAACAGAGCACCCCTGAACAAATAAAGAGGAAACGTATATTTCTGACTGTACTCACCAGATGGTGCTGCAGCTGCCATGTTGTCACTGTGCTGGAAACACCAGAAGAAGCTCAGCTGGAGACCAACAGCTGGTTTTAAAACCCTTTGAACACAAAACAACAGAACGGAGCAACATGTTACTCTATGGCAGGGGGGTGGTGATGGTGCCGTGGATAAGACACGTGCCTTTGGTGTGAGAGACCTGGGTTCAATCCCCCACTGTGACACATCCACCTGAGCAAGACATTTAACCCTGAGTTGCTCCAGAGGCGTGCGACCTCTGACATACAGTATGTAGCAATTGTAAGTCGCTTTGGATAAAAGCGTCAGCTAAATGAATAAAAAAAATGTAAAATGGCAGTGCCAACACTAGCTTTTAGGTGTTTGAATTTGATACCTTCTCTCTCCGGCTCTGTAAACTGATTTTACAAAGTCACTTAAAAGCAGTAACATTAGATGCTAAAAGGCAAGAGGTGATCTTTATATAAACCTCATACAGACATACAAGAAAGGCACAGGTGTAATTACCATTCATAGATGCATTACATGTAAGTGTGTTTGTTCCAGCGATGTGTTTTCATCTTTTTGTGGTAAGTAGTGTAGAACCTCTATATGAAGGTATTTATCTGATGCCTTAATGACAATTTTAAAAAAGAGTTTTCAATGTGTATGTTTCCTTTAGTGCCCACACCACAAATAAATTCCCCCGTGATGAAAAGTAAAGATTGACTGATGAACTGATAAATCAGTCAATCAAAATGTCTGCTGTGAAAGGCCTGTACTCATCCTCCAACAAGCTGTCATTCCTTCAATCACTGCTGTAATTTTAAAGCAGCAGCTGTTACTCTTTATTACTGCCACAAACATCCAGCAGCTGAAACACCAAAAATGAAAACTCCATTCAGCCGACATTCAGCTCAGGGTGAGATGATGATAATACTGACATGTTATGTGTCTCTAAGCTGTCGTTATTAACTTACTGAGGTGCCGCTCTGGGGTTTTATAAAGCATAACGGTGAGACACCCCCAGGAATATACTTTCACCTCCTCTACAACATTTTGACCTCAGCTGCTGCAGAGACATGGGACAAAAATCAAACCGTGACTGTGCTCCTGGCATCCTAATTATGATTTTGTTACATGCCAAAAACTTCTCCGTGGTGTGGTGTGTGGTGTTTGTGATGTGGGCACACAAAAGAAACATACACATTAAAACATTTGTTTCAAAATGAGAACCTTCACAGACTTCTCCAGGTCAAGTCACTGTTTTCTGTCCGCTAGGTTGTAAACATTGTACCACCACTGTGGCTCATTCTAACAGTCCTGTCATAGAATCAGAATCAGCTTTATTTGCCAGGTATGTGTACACATACGAGGAATTTGACTCTAGATTGTACATTGCTCAAAAGTGCTTACTTATACAATAATACAATAATACAGTAATAAAATCAAACACAGGCTACAGTAGTGTTGTAGTACGCGAGACCGGTCTTACGACCACTGTTAGATGGTCTTGGTCTCGTCTTGGACTCGACCGCATTTGTACTCTGTCTTGTCTCGGTCTCGAACATTGAGGACTCGGGATTTTATTTGAAGACCAGTCAAGACCATAACTTTGGGAATCTCAGTAAATTGCTTTTGCATCATCTGATTTATTTGTTAACATCCAAACTTTGACTGGATGTAAAACTTATTGCTTCAAATGCAACCAGTAACGCTAAATAAAAATGACTGTCACCCCTCCTGGTCTTGGTCCTGGCTTGGTCTCAGCCTCTAAAAGTCTTGTTCTTGTCTCGGTCTCGATAAACTCTTGAGACAATAGTGCAATGAACAGAGTGCAAAGGATTCAGGAGTAAATTATTATTAGCATTAGTATTATGTACATTTCGGAGGTGGATGTGATATACAGGTGCACAGACACATACATGAATACATGTACACAGTGTGATGAGTGCAAAGAATGCTGGTATAAATAAGTATTATGTGTGGTGTTATGTACATGAGGTAGGTGGATTTGGTATACAGTATATACAATATAAACAGCTCTGAAATAGAGAATGATGAATAAAAAAAGTGGTAAGCAGTACACAGGTGGCTGATAGTAAACCCATAACAAACATAATGGACATTAAAAATCGAGATGACAAAAACTTTAACAGCCAGATAATGCCTGCAGCAGTTCTGATTCCAGGCCTGCAAAGAGGCCTTTATTCTTTTTCTTGACAGGTGAACATAGGGAGCTTTTCCTGAGGTTCTCCATCTTTACCTGTTTAGATGTCTAACCTTAAAAGCATAACGTTATTTAAGATGCTGGCAAAATACTATATACTATACTATATACTGTACTATAGCTGCAATACTAGTCGGCCTATTAAGTAGAACCTCGTGTATTTTTTTACACATCGTCAAAGGGGTTGTCTTCCTTGTTTGCTATGATGTGGAGCAGACCACTTTACAGTAAAAGAAAAAGGAAACAGAATGAGCCTTTAACTGAAATAGATAGGCCTATCTAACATCATAAACTGGAAAATTTAAAGGCCAACAGGTTTTTCTCAACCAATTCCCCCAAGTAAAGTCACCAGATTCAGCCTGCACATCATATATTTCTTGCTAACGTTACACTGATCAGAACTAGCTTCTGTCAGTCTATGTGTTAATGCTAAACATACATTAGCCTAGTATAATATGAGGGATATTTATTTGAAGTTTTCTTTTCAAACATTGACGCAATGTTTTACAAGCGTTAGGCCTACCGTCAGCGGCGCACTCCGAAACCTTCAAGAAACGCGTTTGAATGACTTTGTAGACTCTTCAGATTATAAAGACAAGTCTCTCGATCCGTCAGCATTTCTAATAAGCTACATCGAGTTGATTTAATCTGCTTGTGTTCAGTCATCTGTGTGGACTCTAGGCCCACTCACCAGCTGTTTGTTACTGCCATCAAGACAAAAGTGAAAGTATTCCAAAAGGAAGTGAAGGAAAGTTCCTCACGTCAGACATTCTCCACATATTCAGATGGATTTTAAAGTAGTCAAAAGCGCCCAAAATGTGGTTTGACCAAGCAAAGTTAAGTCTGAATATAATCGCAGGGAAAACACTATTTCACTCTCAACCCAAGCTTTAATTTGCTTTCTTCAAAAGAAACCCCAAAACTTCTTTTGCCCTCACCTTTATGTCGCAGGGCGGTTCAAACAGAGTTCACTAATGTTACAGCTCCACCTGCTGGACGCGACAGCAAAACACACAGAGGAGGTAAACCAGCTGTCAACTCAAAGATGATGATTGAGATCATTCAGGTGGTGGCAAAAACAGAGACAGGCTGTTTTTATTCAGATGTTTTTGGACACTGTCGGCGTTGTTGATTCAGATCAGTGGTTCATCTCTTTTGGAGGATGTGGTTTGTGGGTCTGAGGGTCTGCTGTGACTGACAGCCCTGTGCTGAAGCAGGTTTTTTTTGTGTTTGGATACATTTGTGACAAGGGTAGGCTAAACAGCATCAGTCACAAGATCTTCAACACCGACTGAAAGACCCAATTTCTGATCTAAATGTAAAGAGAAGGTTCATCCAACCACCAAAATACAAAACGCAGGAGTAAAAGAAGCTTAGCCTATATCTTACAATCAGGTGAGGAACATACGATTTCCATCTATGACTTTTTAAACATTTGCAAATACAGCAGTAATTTAAATTACAGAACAGTAGGCTACCGTGTGAGGTTCCTGTAGGCTTATTTTTATTTCTCAGAACATACTGTAGGAGAAAACAACCCTGTTTTGGCTGATTGCAGTACTGATTAACAGCACAAAGGAATAATAATGGATTTTGTTTGAAAAGTGAAAGTGGTTGAAGTAGGCCTAGTTCATATGTAGTAGTAATTTACAGTGATAGAAGTATTCAGATCTTGTCAATATCAATACCACTCTACATAGGCCTAATGAAAAACTATTAAAAGTCCTGGATGTAAAGAAGGAAAGTATTCTTAGAAAAAAGAACAACGGTATAAAACAAAAAACCAAACCACATCATCTCAGAAAAAAATAAAGAAAATCAGTATTACTGATAATACAAACAAAAACATGTACACAGAGAAATATTCCTACAATGATAAAAATATATTATTACAGACCAAAATTATAACAAAAATTTAAAAAACTCCGACCCTCAACTCAAAAAAAAAAAAAAAAGATTCATGTATTACACTTGCTATGTACTTATACTGCATTTGTACTTGATATTAGGTTGTGTAAGATTCTTTACATGTTTTTTCTGACACTAAAAAGTAAACTAAGCCACCATCCAAAAACATCACAATCATGTGATTTTCAAGCACATACAGATAGATAGGCCTACAGCTGGAGGAAATCGGAGAAGAACTAGAAAATATTTAACTTTCCTTCATAACCATAAAAGCACTTTCTGCGAGACATAGCCGCTGAACAACCAGCAGCTGTAGCTCAGTGATGGAATGACTGCTTGGTGTTGTGTTGTGACTGTGGGCCTGAGTTTGGTGTTTTCAGCAGGTGTTCAGTGGGCAGGACCATCTACTGCGCTGAAGGGCTGGAGGAGGTCTGAACAGGTCCATACTTGACTTCAACAAGGGAGCGAAATTCAAGGTCTTCAAGGACACATCCATCCATTGTCAAATGTTTATCCTGCGTACAGGGTCGCGGACAAGGACACATAGGGCCTATTTAGGTTAAAAAGACCTAGCAGATTTTGCCTTTAATAGAAGATACATCAATTTTCAGGTTCACGTTTTTTTTACCCCTCACTTCTATTCTAGGTTGTTGGATGAGGTCCAAATGGCTAATCCACCTCTAAAACGTGGGCTAGCACACTTTCTGGACATGTTCACAAATAGCCTATACGTTTTGGGGTCCATCTAAGATTGCCCTTGGCCGTTTTGATAACTTTAACAACCAGCATGATATCTTTAGTTAAAGGAAGGGGAGTCCTCTTTAAGTAAAATGTCCCTCATTTGTATGGAATTTTTTATTAGCTAGGTGATTATGAAAAACCTGAGCAGTGCTTCAGGAAGGGCACCTTTTAAGGTAATCAGATTTTATTTGCGGAGCTTGGGAGAGAAGGCAGAATTTTTTGTTCAAGACTAAGCTGTAAAATAACCTGCAATTTTGTAATGAATTGTTTGACTGCAACTGCTTTGTGCTGTCTAGTAAATCCACGAGGGTTTGGCACTTTGTGTGCATGACACAAATAAAAGAAAACAGTTATCATGTAACAATAAAGGTTATTTTAACAAACACATAAAAAGACTGGGAACAATAGTTGGAATTGCCGCTGGTGAGCTTCACTCGGCTCTCCCGTAATCAGCATCACTTTCTTCAGGTGTGTTCTCCTACTAGTGCCAGAAATGTGCGCGGCCAACAGGTGATTTGACTAACCGGCTTCCTCGTTTTTATTCAGCTAATCAAATGCTGAATCACTCTGGCAAAGCAGAGGGGAAAAGAGAAGTTGAGCTCAGAGGACGACCACAAAACTCCAGGAGGGTCCATGTGAGAAACTGACCTAATGATGATGCAGTGTGGGATCAGATAGGACATCAGTCAGCAGCGATAGTGACTTGAACGGTAAGAGCAGTGTTTTCAGCTTGCGCGCCAAACTTCATTCGTAAATCTTGCTGTTTCGATCCCTGTTCATGAACAAACGGACTTACGCAGATAACTCGCTTATTAGATATTTTTCAAATCAAGAGGGTCTCTAAGTCGACGAAAACGCAAATCTATTGAGAAAGTAGCCACACACTGCCACTAATTCCTCCTTTTTATTCTGCTCAGTTTTATTGCCAAGAGATAAAGGTGCTACACGTAAACAAACATACAGTTGAGATATTATAAAAGACTAAATATTGAATAGATTAAGCATGATGTTGCATGTGTGCCGAATTGAGCTCTCCATACTAAAATCTATTTCTATAAGGTAACCTATTTACTATCACATTATATACACTGTAAGTTGCTAAATTTTCGCAGGGATAAGCAGTCTTTTTTTCTTTGTAATTGGGTGCAATTAGCTTAATCAATTCCTGCTTTAAATCACTTTTCACAGGTATGTCTACTTCTTTCAGAAGACAGCCTAATAGTGAAATGATAAACAACTTTACAACATGCCAATATGCATCCTCAACTAAAAACCCTGGATACTATAGTAGATATAGTCCAATTTAAAACTGCTTGTAATTCTGTTTGTTGAGGGCCTCCCATGACGACAGAGGGTCACGTGCTAAGGCAAAAGGCCAATTTTGTTTTGAGAAGTTTTGTCTTTGCTGTAACTTCCAAAGTGAAGTTGACTTTCAGTTTATCCTGCTGAAGTTAAGGTTTTATGCTCATGTTTACATGTCATTGTAGCTTTTTGACACACACACACACACACACACACACACTACTTGACCAAAGTATAACGCAAAGTGATTATTTTTACTATCTAAGTTTTAAGAATGGCCCCTTGCTCTCCAGGGAAAATGTTGGTGGAGATGGCTTTGAAACGTAGACAAGGTAAAAACAATGGGTGCTCACAAGACACACCTCCTAAGTAGCACACACAAACTCGGCAGTGACACAACTACATACATGGCCATACCTTTTCTTGTAAAACCTTGCAAACAGCATCCTATGAGAAGTTAAATCCACAACATGGGTTTTGAGCATTAGGTAGGGGAGAGCGGGGGCAATTGTAACAGTCAATTTCTCCAATAAGAAACAAGCTAGAGTGATGACACTTAATCTGCACATGCTTAGAAGGATTCTCTCTTTACCTGTGGAAAAGGAACAGGATAATTTCACCTCTGCCGAAGTTTACCAAAATGCTGATTTTAAGATGCACTGAACAAAATTATAAACAAGACTTTTGTTTTTGCCCCGACTCATGAGCTGAACTCAAATATCTAAGACTTTCTCTAAGACTGCAAAAGGCCTATTTCTCTCTGTCAAAATCTGATAGTGAGCACTTCTTCTTTGCTGAGATAATCCATCCACCTCACAGGTGTGGCATATCAAGATGCTGATCAGACAGCATGGGGCCTTAGGCTGGCCACAATAAAAGGCCACTAGAAAATGTGTAGTATTTAATGACATGTCAGAATTGGCGTAAAGTAGCCAATATTTTGCTTCTGCGTTTATATTTTTACAAATTCTGACAATCAAAATAATCCAAATCCTTGATTTTTGACTCTTCTAAATGTTTGAGCAGGCACAGAATTATTGGCAATTTGTGCTTCAGATATTCCTTTGACTCTTTCTGCTATGAGCGGAGTTCATCTGAAAGTTTCAAAATTTCTGCACAAAAACAGTATACTTGGGGATTTTATAACTATTTGAGGAGAACGCCTCAAACACAGGTATGGTCTGCGTAGCCTACGATGTGTTTTACGGAGTGTGTTGGAGTGATATTCTGCGTATGAATGGTTGCACAAAGACTCCTGTATGTGGTAACAAATTGGCATGTTGTAAAGCTTTATCTATCAGTTCACCATTAGTCTCCTTAAAGTATTTGGCATTTGTTGAACTGGTATTTTTGTGAATGTCTTAATGCAAATCTGTTACACTAAAAAACAGATGTAGACTGAACCAGTTTAAGTAAAGACTCAAATTAGTGTCTAGACTTTACTTTAACAGGTAGAAACCTCGAGCAGAACCTAATGGGTGGCTGGCTGGGTCAAGATTAAAATATTCAACTGTGTGAGAGCTGATTCAACTCTGGTATTCAGTTTGTGCTGCTATGTTAATTGAATGCATGGAGTGCCAAGCGCAGCTGAGTCTGATATAGTGACTTTCCTTTTTAACTTTCAGAACTATGAATGGCACACAGATAAATGTAAAATTGGGAAATGTCTGTTAAGACAGATTGAAGACGCACAGTGTGATAGATGGGAACAACTACAGTAGATCTTTGATTGTGGTTGTATTGTGGAGTAGAGGTGATTACTGCTGGAGTTCTCAACAGAAGGCAAACTTATTTTGCATGTTATTTTACTTTTATTTAAATAAACAGACGATGCAAATTTCTGTCCTGTTGACACCCGCTACACTGGAACATGAATCCAGTTGTGTGGTACAGAGTAACTCGGACACAGACCAGCATCCAGTTTCACCTAAAGTTACACAAACCGGAGGAAACGTGATCCTGAGCAGTTTAGTACAGAGAGCTAATGTGTTAGGAACGATTACAGCTCTCCATAACTGGAGGTAGGTGCGTCTTTTTAATAGATTCTCCATTAGGTTTCTTTTAAGCTTTTGAAAAGGTAAAAATAAATACTATTCCAGATGTCATTTTATACACTTCCAAAATTTAGCCTGATCTGTTTGGTGTCTCTACTTGACTTTAAAATGTATTTATGGACAAACTACTTGGGGTTGTAAAGTTACAAGCCCATGGTGACTGGGAAAAGGTTGATGTCTTTCATATGATCCTTTCCCCACAACATGTCAGTTATTTTTGTTCCGCTGAGTAGACTGTCAGTGAGACGCACACTTTAAACATGACAAGTACATTTGCAGTGTTAAAGTACCAGATGTTTAAACTGTGCACTTCACCTGCTTAAATAACAAGAAGTCAAGAGTTCATCTTTCAAAATCTTTTGGAAGGCAGCATTGTATTTTTTTGGAGAATTGCACAAGTTTTTTTAGGGTGGTTTTTCTCTGAATCAGCAGCCTGATTGACACTGTGTTGGCAGTGGTTTAAGCTTGACCAGATGAGTAATGTTGTTCTTACTAACGCCACCCATAATATTATATTTACAGTGATAAAACAGAACTTAATCCAGACCGAGCCAAGGGAAGGATGCACTATATAGCCAAAAATATGTGGACACCCAATATTGCAGCAGTGTGATGGCTCAATGTGTCACTCCAGAACCGTGTTCATAAATGTTGGACTCCATCACACTCCGCTCTTCAGTTTCAGTCTTTTCCTCCAAATGCTGAATTTGCTCCCAGAGTCACTAAATCAGGAAAAGTGGTTCTTTATGGAGCTGCTTTGTGCAAAAGGCCACTGTGATGGTGAAACCGGAAAGGGACAAACTGTTGACACACATATTGTTGTTGTACGCTGCAGCATTAGGATTTAAATTCACTGGAACTAAATATGAGCTAGACAAAATCGGGAAAAACAGAGTGGGTGGCAGGCACATACTTTGGCCATATTATAATACTAATGCCACTATTAGTTTCCATTAATCATGTTTGTTTGCAGTGTATTGAAATCTTTTTCTCTATAGATTGAGTTTTACTTTAGACTGAGGCTGTCTTCACCGTCCCTCCCTCCTCCATGTGTCTGATGCCTGCTGACTGCTGAAGATATCCATCTCTTCATCTCCTTGGAGCTTCACTCTGTTCTTTCACTACATCACTCCATCATCTGTCCAGCAGTCATGAATCCCTACAGAAACACAAACTTGAACTCTCACCCACGTGATGATGCCTCGGGCTCTTTACCAAATCCATCTCGTTTTTAACCCCCTGACCCTTACGACAATTCCCATAATCCATCTTCATCAGCCGTCTTACCGTCTCCTCCAATCATCCAGACGGGTCATAGCTCTGTGACAGTTTTGAGCCAATACTCCCCTCCCTATCCGGCCCCCTCAGACCAAGATGGAGGTCAAAGCATGGTTCGGTCATCAAACACGCCACTCCCAGGCTCAGGTCCAGGCTTCAGCCTCGGTTCCAGGCCTCAGTCCAGCTTAGCTTCAGTCTCATCTCCAGCTAACCCTCCCTCTGCAGTGTCTGCTACACCAAACCCTTACCCTGCCCCCGCCACACCCCCTCCAGCAGGTCTCTGTCGTCATCCCGTCACCAGACCTCCGCCCGTCCCCCCTCCAGTCTCAGTGCTCTGAGGAGTCCTGCCCAGACCTGGAGTGCGCCATCTGCTTCAGCCAGTTCAACAACATCTTCCGCTGTCCCAAGATGCTTCAGTGCAAGCATACGTTCTGCCTGGAGTGCCTGGCACGCATCAACGTCAAGTCGGCTCACCCCAACACCATCCAGTGCCCGCTGTGCCGTGGACTCACACCGCTGCCTGCCCTCGGGCTGCCCAGACTGGCCACGGACTCAGACGTGCTGTCTTACCTGCCGGCCGCCATGCAGAGAGTCTACAGCATCCGCTTCATCCGCAACAAAGGGAAGCTGCAGGTCAAAAGGTCAGGTTGCTGGAGTAACCTATCAGGAATGTCTTCTATGGCAGTGGTTCTAAAATGTCTTCTGTCATGCGCATAAATGTATTTAATTTTCAACTTAATATCCCCAACAATATAGGAGTAATTACAAAACTGCAAAAACACAAATTGAGGCTCGACAGTTGATCGGGGGTAAAACGGCTTTGTCAAATTCTCACGTCTTCATGTCAATCTTCCTATATTTCACCATCTGGACAAAATTTGAGGAGCTAAATATTAGAACGTTGCCAGCTTCAGAGTACTGCTCGTATGTTCCCACATGAATCAGATTAATTGAGTTCCCTTGGTCAGTTTTCCCCTCTGTCCAGCCTGCCGTTCAGATCTAGTGCAAGATGTACCACACTGAAGGGATGATATCGATACCATAAAACAAGTTGGGTGTACCCTTTTTTTTTTTTTTTTATTTTTATTATTATAAAAGTGTCTGTAGTAATTAACACATCTGGATAAATGCTGTTACAGAAAAAAGCCAAAAGTTTTCTGCACTGATCTTAAGTGTTGCAGTTTCACCATATTGGAAATGTGAGAAGATGACTGCTCAGTGCAGCAACTGTCCACAGTTTAAATGAAGACTTAATGATGGGCTGCATAATAAGTGAAAACTTCTCTCAGTATTGCAAAGAAATTGGGGGGGGGGGGGACCCCGACTGGCAAGAATCATTTGTTTACTACACAGAAATAATCGCATAGAAATAAATCCTGCTGAGACACTGCAGGTCAAAAGATCAGGGTGCAGGCTCGTCAGTACTCAATTTTTAAATGGGCTAAGAAGAATCACAATTGTCCTTCAAAGAACAGGATTTAATGAAGCACTGAATTCACAGCTTAATTTTGATCAATAACAGTCTGTTTCTCATTAAGGTCAGCTGAAGGTCGTCAGAGGTCGCTGGCATCTCTGAGGTCAGTGAACCGATCTCTAGACGTGGGGCTTCCCAGCCCGCCCGCTGGGGGTCGCGCTGAGGCGAGCGGCGTGGGCGGAGCTCTATTCAGACTGACTGGCCGGCCGGCGTGCCGAGCCTTCCTCCTGATGTCTGTGGTATTGATGATGGTGCTGCTGATGGGCATCATCATCTTCCTCCTCACCTACAAACATCCGTGAGTGACATCACATCCTGTCTTCCTCCTGCTTTTTATTTCTCTGATGGAAAAACGCATCGAACAGTGAAATTCCAGTTTTGTCTGAATCCAGTTAATGAGCAACATCTGTTTAAAAGATGAAAACTGATCCAGATGTGCAATAAAACCCATCGTTTCCAGGCTGCTGTGCAACAAGCGGCATTTAACTCGCTGATGCATCCAAAGCCAAGACACAGAGGAGGAGCTGCACTTAACAAAACACCCACACCTGAGCAGTGGGCTTTCATCTGCTTCATAACATTTAACTTGTGCAAACATTTCAGATAATGACGTAGATTCGGTCAGGCTTCTTGCTTATTTTAGGTTCATTCCTCAAAATTAAAGTACGCAATGACAATCATGTAAGAGCGGCGGTGGGAAAGTGTCGGGGAAACTGAGAAGCAGTGGACTTGAATCTGCAGTACTTGTGCCAAAATCTTTAAATGATTAGCTATCCGTTTTCAGGTGGAACTTCCTGCTCAGTTTTATTGGCTCAAGTCACAAAATGGCGGTCAGGTAACAGAGGAGGAGTGAACTTTAATCTGCCTCACAGGACAGCAGAGCTGCAGTTAATCACCTCAGGTTTGAGGGGAAAAAACATAAACCACTCCTCAAGGTTTTGAATGTCAGGTTACAAATGGCAGGCTGGTAATACAAGATGCTGAAGTTCACTTGATGGCAAAGAAGATAAGTGATGCTTTACAAAAAATAGATTGAGGTTTATTATATGAACAACAGGCCAAGGTGCAGCTGCAGATCAACTGAAACATGAATCTACTGTCACTGACCTGGAATAAGGCCTGTGACCTGCCTGTAGTTTTGTTCCCCCTCACTCCAAACATGACATTATGTAAACTTGTCACCAGGTGGCGCCTTCTCCTTCATATTCCCCTGTTTGTACTTGTTCTGGCAGCTTTCAGCACTTTAAAAAGAACCCAGCCACTGAATGTTTACATGCGTGTGTGTGTGTGTGTGTGTGTGTGTGTGTGTGTATTATGTCTTTACCTGCTTGTTTATGTTAGTCTATTTCCTGTTGTTGGAGCTGCAGCTCTGCCCCCGGCCTTAACCAAACGTTGTAAACCAAAGCCATGCAAATGACTTGAGTTACAGATCTGCCGCAGCCAGCTGAGCAGAGGTCAGTGGATTTTCATAGATGCTGAAACATTATGTGGAGGTGGCTTTGTTACAAAGACGATGTAACTGATCACAAGGATTAGTTCAGCCAAATTACAAAAGGAACGTTTCCACTAAATGCAGATGGCTTTGGTTTTATTTTTATTAACAATGGAGATAAATAGACTTGTTTGGTGTTAAAAACATCACATCTTCCCAGAAATGGCATCTTATTCCTGTGGCTAAATCTAGTTTTTCAATACTGTGACCAACCCCAAACAAATTAAATTATCCTGCATCGTATCGATGGTGGAGGCAGAGGTCTGACACACATCTGAAAACCTGGACGAATAAAACCAAAACTATCTGCATGTATTTGTTTGTTTTGTTTTTTTTCTTTTGGTAGTTGTTGAATTGACCCTTTTTTATTGTCTGTGGTTGAAATCATCAATAGGGAGTCATGTACCTGAAATAAGCTCTTAAATTGTGAAAGTTTAGGGAATAATTTGTGACTTAAGAGTTCAGCCTGCCAGCTGGTCTGTTACACCCTGCTGGAGGCTGGGAGTTGTGGGACAGTTGTCCAGTGCTGCACTGGTTTAAGCACAGAACAGAATCCTGTCCAATTATAAACTTGATTGGTCAGTTAAAACATAACTAAGACCATGGCGACGCATGTTATATTTAAAATCGTACATTTCTTAATGTGCTCAGCTGAAAATGAGAGAATTGCAAACTTGCAAATCAAACTCGACCTGAAATGAGTAACTACCTTCACTGTGCTGTCCCAGAAATTCCTACATATGGATTTTAAAAGTTACTTAACTTACAGATATGTATGTGATGGTTAGGGACTGAGAGGGGAAAAATACATTTTAATGGGTTTTTTTTCCTGTTGTGTACAGTTTTTATGCTCAATATAAAATAAATAATTTTATATATATATTTTTTTTATAACTGTTTTAGCAAAGCTTGCACTGTTGCCATGTTTGCCCTGAGTTATACTTGAATAAATTTCTTTTTGAATTATAGTGTCATTTTTACTAAGCAGGAGAAAGTACAAGGGTTGAACTGATCGGTTTTGAAAGGAAAATGTTACAGGAAAATCTAGAATTGAAGTTGCTTTCACATTTATAAAGTAAAATGTGTCTCCAGCTGTATATTCTGTATAGACTCTTACAGTTCTGTAGGTTTGTAGTCTTTAGTGCTGTGTCCAGACTTTTTCAAACCAAATGCTGGTGCTGACCGATCTGTCTGTGCCAACATATATTCTACACTAATTTGTCCCTCTGCTGGTGGGTAATAGATTTGTGCAATGTGTACATTAAGAGCGTCAACTGACAAATTGGACAAAGGGCCTTCAAATCAGCACAGGATTAGGATAAATAAATCAAATAATTGTAATAGGAAAAAAAATTATTTTGTTTTGGATAAATAAAAGTAAATGTGCAGGGAACCTGGATATGACAGCCACAATTAAGAATTACACAGCAAACTAATAAGAACAATCAGTTGTATGTGAAAGGTGTGGGAATGTTCACAGATCATGTATACAGATGCAACACGGATAGCAGTCTATGCAGCCAGTTGCTTTCCACATGAGTGAAAAACTGACCAGGGCGCTCTGATGGAAACGAGCTGAGCGGAGAAGTTTGTTTTCCTTTAAATAACGATAAAATGTTTAGCACAAGAACTAAATTTAAAAAGCAACAAACTTCTTCCTTTGTTAGGAATGCTCTCTGCTCTCGTATGTTCACTGTCATGAGTCAGATGCCACTTAGTTTATTTTACTAGTTTACTTGACAGGACATTGCTCATTAATAAACCGGTGAATCATCTGTGAAGTCAAAAGTGCAACTAGACTTACTTATTTTTAAATTCTTTCCTCAGTATCAGTGATATGGTTGCTGAACTGGAAAAATAGAAATCTTAGTGGTTCCTTTATTCCCAGTTTCTAAGGAAAAAAGTCAACAGCATGTTGCAAAGTACACCTGCAAGTTCCAGTTTAGTGACTTATTCATACGGCCTAAAATTTCTTTCTGATAAAAATGCTGACATGCTCACGCTTACTCTCTGACACGAGATGACACAATGTTGGGGGAAAAAATGGAGAAGAAAAATAGCTTTACTCAAAACAGCCACTTTTCCTCTATATTTGTGCCCTAATGTCTTGTAAAGTATATTTAATCCTGCATTAACTTTTGTACATTTGTTAAAAAACCTGCAAGTTGCTCTTTACAGAATAATTTCTGTTTATTTCAACCTGCTGGATTTCCCATAGATGTGGCTCTATGGGTCATGCCTACTTTACACTCACCATTTCATTGTAACTTAGAGATTCTGGGAGGCAAATTGCATCGACTGAGGTGGATCCTCCAGCTTAAATAATAAACTTTTTTTTTTTTTTTTCTTTACAAACACTTGTCTAGCTAAACGCAGACAGAAGCATGTGTTTGTGCTAGAGGAATAGTAGCAAAGGCGTGCCGGCAAATTCCAAATTGTAAGAATAAAGAGTTAATCAGAAGGTTGGCAGTTCAATCCCCGGCTCCTCCAGGCTGCATGTCGAATTGCCCCTGGTGGCTGTTCCGCCAGTGTATGAATGTGTACAAGTGTTAGTTTCTGTTTGAGCACTTAGGCTGTGAATGAATGTGTGTAAAAGCGCTTTGAGTGCTCAACAAGACTAGAAAGGCTTGTTAAACAAAATTGTAACTTTTTCTTTGTTACAGTTGTATTTTTTGAGATGAGTGTTTGTTGCTGATGAGTCACACACGCATCTGCATTAGCTGCAGCTTCATGGGGTCCCACCAAATTCACAAAAAAACACCCTGAGGATAGTTTTGGTTTCATGAGCTGATAGTTCAAGATCTTCACCCCTGAAACGTTTGCCTCTGTCTTAGTACATCAGAGGTGAACAGGAATGCATTTGTGCTGCTTAAAGAAATCAAGAAATAACATTGGCAAATGTGAACTTTCCAGGAACAACTTCCTGGTTATTATTTATTTTTTTAAATACCAATGAAGACCGTTCAACAACAATCCTCTCTTCTCAGAGCTGACAGTTTGAACAATTTCCACTCAGTGCTGACCCTGCTGTGATATCTCCTGTACATCCTTTATGACACAGCGCCGGTGTGTGTGCGTGGGTGTGTTAAATGGGTTCCTTTGTGTATGATGGCAGTAGACACACCTTAACAACACACTGAGCAATTTAACAAACGTGTTTTCGTGGAGACCAGCCATGTGAACCGCTGCTTGAATCCCACCCACTTTGAGAGTTCACATCCTGCAAACATCTAACCTGAAGTCTCAGAAAAGCTCAGTGTGTCATGTGACGTCTACCCCCTTTAAAGGTATGTACACCCAGACCAAAATTATTCATGTAGTGATGCACATCATCCAGTGCTGGGTGGGCTCACTGACAAACTCTCCTCCTGGTTACATTTAAAACACCAAAATAAACAGCTGCCCCCCCCACCCCCCACCCCACTGTACTTGCTAGAACAACCCGAGTAGAGATGAGTTTTTGATAAATGAGGGAAAGAGAGGACAGAGGAAGGTTTCTCTAGTTTGTTGACCTCATTCATTTATCTGTCCAGACCACACACACATGTTTTGTGTGATAGAAGGCTGGTTGTTGAAGCAGGGGAGAACATCCACATGATGCTTTGCCAGTTTCCCAGGATTCCTTCCTCTGCGGGGGCACGTATAGTCCTGGAGTCTGACACTCCATTATTGGATGGTCAGTCAGCTGATTAGCTCTCAGACAGGAAAGTTCTGATGCAGCTGATTAAAGATCCACATAAGAAAAAAACCCTGCCCTTGTTAGGACTTTATCAAGTCTGTAGTCCATCTAGACGTCACTGCACCAAACGACTGATTTCTCTTTTCTTAAATCCAATCATCAGCAGGAGGTGGGGGTGATTTGACAACCTGCCCACTGTCATCGGACTTTGATTAAATATGGTGCTAAATCCTGATTGGTGCACAGGAGTATGTGACATCATGTGTTTCTAAATGAGCCCATACAGACCAGTGAGAAGAGTTTAGACAAAAGAAAAAAATAATGTTAACATTGGCAGAGGATTTTGTATTCGTGTGGAATCCAATTTTTCTCCTGTAGATCAACTTTCCTCATGTAATATCTTCCACGCTGAGTCATGATTTAGACTTCCCTCCTCTTCTGTGTCTTTGTTTTGGGAAGTAATCTCTTTAAATGTGACACCTTTAATGATAAATTATTAAATTTTTATTCAGTTAAACTCCTGGACTTTAATAGCTCCTGTCTTTCAGCAGAATTTCTGGTCATGATCAAAACTTTCTGCACATTCAGAATCTCTCACGGTCATCTGTTCTCTGACATGTCCAGAAAAAAGTCATAATATTTAGAGATATAATGAGAAGTCTACCTGCCCCATACTCTGCTGTGCATTACGTTATTAATACGCTGGGAGTAATGTTATCCCCTTCAGACCGTTTGACCGACGCAGTTTGGGACTGCATGTGAAGCCGAAAGTGACTGAAACACTTGTGATCAGCGGAAATCTCACCACAGATCCACATGTTAACTTCAGCAGCTCTGATAAAACTCGTGGCACAAGATTTCATCACACACCTATCAGACACTGATTGGAAAAAAGGTTTTCAAGGCCTTTTAAGCTCAATTTCACAGATGTGATGACTTGGGGGTTTAAAATTCCACCTGTCCAGCCACTAGAGGGCAGACAAACATCAAAACTGACTGACACAGCCGTAATAACGCTTCATAAGCTGAGATGGATTTCCCGATCTTATTTGACTTTATTTTATCCCTTTTTTATATTTATCTTAAACGTGTATTTTAGTCTTTTCAATGTTTTCTTGCTATTATCTTGTATTGTTTTTGTATTATTGTCTTTACACTTGTTAAAGAAGCACTTTATAACTTGTTTTTGGATATCAAAACACAGAGCAAGATGATGGAGACATGTTTGTGTCCACCTGATGAAACAGTCCAACATTCACTCTTAAGTCTGGTTTGGTCTCCACCAGCTCCTGAAAATGATCTGCCTCTCTCTGTGTTCACCAGCTAGTCTCTAACGGTGTGTCTGCTGAGCAGGTCCTGTACTTTGGGTTTATCAATGCTGCAAACACTTGAGACTGAGACAGGAAAAGTGCCATAAAACCAAAACTAGGAGCTAAAAGAGGCTAAAAGCTCCTTAGAGCTGCAGAGTTGGTGATACTTCTCTGTGGATTCATAATTATCTTATCACATTAGACAGTCATTTGAATAAAAGTATGACAAGAGACATTAAAAACTTGACTTGGTTGAGCCCTGTCTTCTACCTGTTAAATATTTTGCACCCTAAAAGTTTTAAATGAAATATTAAACACCGTGTGTGTGTATGTATGTATGTGTGTATGTGTAGACCTCAGACCTCATGTAATTATAACGGATTTTCTGCAGAAAAAGTGGTAAACTCCACAAATGTATCAGAGCCACATGACTGTTTGTGAGCTGGACATTCCAGCCAGGCTTCAACTTCCTGTTTCGCTAAAACCTGCTGAGGGCTGTTACGCATTATGTACATCAGCACAACCTTCAACACACGCATGTGCACACACCAGCTGACTATCTTCTGTGTTTTCCCATTTAGTCCAGTCACCAGGCACTGACCGTCCGTGTACTCCGTCACCTACGAATCTTCACAATAAACTCTGTTTCACAGTCAGAGCTGATGGGTTTTAGGGTACCAAAGAAGTGTGGGGGAATGTTCCCACCCACCACCAGAAACCCAGACTTTAACTCCCAGTGGCCAAACCTCTGGCTGTAATGTGGTTTTCAGAGAACATGGTTATTTGTGTTCACAGTGGGAAGCCAGTGAGGGATCATTTCCTTGCTGGTTGGTTGGGGCGCGTGCAGAGTGGGAAATGGAGCTGGCTGGATAAAGTTCCCACAGCTAAATTTAAGAAAAACAGAAGAAGGGAAACACACATAAGCCATGCTGGCGGCATCGCTCTAAAGACTGTCAGTCTGTCAGTCAGTCAGTCAGTCCAACACTTCCAGTCCAGACTGTAATATCTCAACTGTTGGATGGTTTCACATTAAATGTGGTTCATATTCCCCTCAGGATGAATTGTAGTAACTTTGGTGATCCTCTGACTTTTCACCAGCACTATCATCAGGTCCACATTTTAATTAGTCCAATACTTTGGTTTATGACTGAATACTTCAGTACAACCGCTGAAACTCAATTTTAGCTACTCAAGATTCAAAATCCCTAAATGCACACACGTTCTCATATGATTACATTACAAATATTAAAGATATTAGATAGAGCTCCATCATGTCCGAGGCTGAAGGCTGCAGATGCTTTGTTTTCCCCTGTGTTCCCTCTGTGTTTTCAGACCTCTCCTGTTGTCCTCTGTTGACCCAGAACTCCACCTGACCTCGCTGTGAAGCTCATTGAATTCTAAATGGTGGCGACAGTTCAAAGTAAGAAGGCCATCGTGGTTGAGCAGTCTGACCTTTGGTTTCAGCTTTCCCCAACACTTTGGAAACACTGCTGAGATAATCACATTTTATTTTGGTGTGCCTGTAATGTGTTCAGTGTCTTTGTAATGAGTTTACAGTAGCAGTGAGAAGATATGGTTTAACATATATTCAATGATCATATGGTCCTCAAATCGACGATCCGGGCCAACGACCCCACTGAGGTTAAATAGCTGAGTTTCCCTGCCAGTCAGTCAGAACTGAAGAAGTCCTTTGGATGAGGGACAAAACATCTTCCAGTATCTTCAACCAAGTCCAGTTGCCCTTGACTTTAACCTTCTTGGATAACTATGACCTGGATGACTGAGAATCTTCATAGACATCTTAAAGGGTGTCCTACACTGAAAGGAATGCCCATTTGGATATTTGGGTTAATAACAAAAATTGGCGTGACTTGACATGAATTGCATAACTTTTCACTCCTACTAGGTGTTGTCTAGAAATTCCATTATTTATCATATTTGTAAACTCATCTGTATTATTATGTAGGGGGGCTGAACCTAGTACTTTACAAAATGAATAAAATAATTCAACATCAATTCTGACAACAGATTAATTGTTTGTCATTTATCAAGAACAAGGGTCTGAAATGTGAGAATTTCCTGCTTTCCTTTTATTCCTGTAAATTAAATATTTTTGGATTCTGGATGAAACAAGATATTTGAGGATGTCAGTTTGAGCTCTGGGAACCTTTTTCACAATTTTCTGACACAGTCAACAGAATAAACCTCATATTTGTGAAAACAAAAAATACTTTGCAATGTGTAAATGTTCAGAAAGATCAGCAGTCAGAACAGAAGCAGGATCAAAGTGACTAAACCTTTATTTTGAAACGTGGCAGTGGGATGGAAAACATTCGTCTTTCTTACTGTTGAGCCTGCCAAGGAGCCAGATCAGACAGGTCAGAATGTGGAACTGAATCAGATGGGTTGGCAAAGCTGGCTCTCTTCTGACTGAGTTTCCTGAGGGACGGACAGAATAACAGTATTTATACAAAGAACAGATTATGTAAAACAAAAAAATAAAAACAGTTGTGATATATTTTATTGATTGATTATTAAATGATATATTGTGTTTTGGCCACTTTAACTTGATACAGCACCTTATTTGTACATCCAGCATTACAGAACAACTCATTTGGAAGCCTTCCTTCTCATGTGGTTGCCCCAAGTATAACAGATGTATCTGCATCAGGGTTAGTTAAGCCTGTGGCGCCTGCAAACACTTGTGGTTTCTTCCAGTCAGTCACTGGTAGACGTTGAGAGTGCAGGTGGTAGAGCAGCCCCCCCCCCCCCAACAACTAAAATAGACTAATGAGGTTCTTGGGGATGCTGGCTTACTACTGCAGTCTTGTCAGAACTTTCTTCTGTTGTTGCTCCCCTCACTGATTTGTTGAAGGCAATTTAAATTTGTGTGGTCTCCTGTCTGTCAGCAGCTTTTCAGAAGGCCAAAGAACTTCTCTGTAGTGCTCCGGTGCGTGCCGCTCCTTGTTGCAAAGTCGTTCAGTCTGCAGGTGGATGCCGGTCACATGGGGGCAGGTGCAGTATTGATGCAGTCTGACAGTCATGGTGTGAACAAACCTGTGGGTTTCTACTCCTAAGAAGTTTAACAAGCATCAACTAACTTCTGTGATCGAGAGACTCTGTTTTAGTGTGGGTGTTTACTCATTTTGATGTGTATGTGGGATCCGGGTGCCTGTTGTTGTTTTTACAGATCCTAATCCTGACATTTCTCAGTTCCTTCAAGTGTCCCTAACCAGGTTATTGTAAGGTTTTTATTTTTCAGTTTTCCCCCTCGAAGATTTCAGTTTGTTTTCTATTGAATTGTTCATATTATAGGTGGAAAAAGTTCTGACATGATTTCTTTGTCTCATTATTTTACATCATAAGAACCTGGCATTTTAATAGGGGTGTGTAGACTTTTTCTATCCACTGTATGAAAATAATGATTGTAAGCAGGAAAGTAAGTGACTTCTTCCCATTTTACCACAGTGGAGCTATGATTTCTGAGTGCATCCTTTTTCAACTTCAAACACAGACATGAATCAGTCTCCTCTCTTGAAGCATCAGGACACCAATTAAATCTGGTGTTCAGTGTCCTTGTTGGCTCTAAAAACAGAAATGCGTCCACTGAGCAAAGACTGTAAACATGCCTTGTGCATGAGGACAACAATAAATCCCTATGAGAGCAGATCAGGCAGAGGCAGATTGACTGATCATACTATCGATTACACTGGAAAAAATGATGTGACCCAACACTGCCCCTTGCAGGCAATGCACTGGAGTTTCCAATTCACAAAAACCTGTTGAGAGGCAGCTGGGTGCTGGTGGATGGACGCGTCCTGTAGATGGCTGGTTTGTGTTTCCATGTGGGTCGAGGTACGAGGCCGAGGTCGCCTGGCCTGTAGCGGGCCATCAGGAACAATGGATCTGTGGCTGCGTTCACGGTCTCTGCTCTGTGGAGGAGAGACAGGATGAGGGGAGCAGGAGCAGACTGTCTTGGCTCAGGGATGAGGGAGTTTTCATACTTACTTGAGTTGTTTCCTTTGTGAGAGTTTGTTTGTTTTTTCTCCACTACATTTATCTGACGGCTGCAGTTAACAGTTAACATGTACAGACTTTACATTTAGCTTGAGATAAGCTCACACAATGTAACTAATATCACTTTTCTTTACTCCTATCCCTCTGTTCTCATTTATTCTCTCTTCTTTATTAACATGAAAAAGAAAAATAAAGATGTTGATATAAAACTACTTCAAACTGATTTTTTTCTAAATATATTAGAAATATGTGAAGAGATAGCAGGGCCACGGGATAATTAATTTCACTGTGTTTAGATAGGAATGTATTGTTAGAATCTTTTGATGAAATCAGTCAACAGCTAATCTGGTTCTGGTGGGACTCAAACCTCAGCAGGACTCTAGTCCAGCCTACTTTGCTGCTGTGATGAAATAGCTGCGGTGTGTTCTGGTTTTTCTAAACAGGAAATGTGTGTTTACACTGCTGTTGACACCAGTCATAAAACAGAAACCCCCAGTGGAGAGTGATTCCAGTACCTGGCTGGTTTGGGGTCAGAAGTCTGCGGTTTCTGTTCTCCACTGCTCTTCTCAGTGGAGTCTTTGAGGTCAAACCCTGTTGACTGGGGGATGGGACTCTTCAGGATCTCCTGCAGCCTCCGTATCTTCCCCTGAGACTCGGGCGCCTCCTGCAGAGGAAAGAGAACACCAGGAGTGCCTTCAGTTTATTTCAATAGGAAACACAGGTGCATTGAACACTCCTGTTGTGTTACGTAATTCAAAATTCAGGTGGCAGGTGACAATTTAAAATATAAAAATATAACAGAATATAATGCAGTTAGGAAGAGAACGGAAAACTTGGCCAAAAAGAAAATCTTCTTATAGCAAGCTATTTTTCAGAATATTTTAGCAAATGCCTTCAAAAGTGACAAAATCGTCCATTTCAAATGAAATGTCCCCAGCGTCCCCACTGTAAATGACACCTATGCCAGCATGTTTTATCCTGTTGACGTTATCCAACATTACATTCAGGTTGCTGCCACTGGTCTACATACAACAATTAGCTTTAAGTTGCAAAGCTCATGCTGGAGTGGACTAGGTAAATATAACGGGTAAATGTTGTCTTGGCCACATTGGTGACCCATTGGTTTCAAAATGGCAAATTCAACCAAAA